ATCAAGGAGAGAAGCAACTAAGGAGAAATTTCCTGACAATGAGAACAATGAATCAGTGGAACAACTTGCCTCCAGAAGTTGTGAATGTTCCAACATTGGTAGTCTTTAAGAAGATGTTGGACAACCCTTTGTCTGAAGTGGTGTAGGGTTTCCTGCCTGAGCAGGGGGTTGGATTAGATGACCTCCCAGGTCCCTTCCAACTCTGTTATTCTATTCCATTTCTGATACATTTCTCTAAGTAGTCTTGCCAAGAGGAATGGGCCAAACTCTGCTAAGCTCAGAAACGTCATCATGGCATGTATATACATATTTTAATTCATTTCTTTGCCAGGGGTTTCTTTGGTCTGTCCAGTAACGTGACTTCTAAAACTCACTCGAGTAGCAGCACAAACCGCTTTACAAGTAGTACTTAAAACCTGAACTATGCCACCAGTGTGCTAATCCATTGCATTTATCAAAACCTGTCCTTTTTTTCCCCTATTGTAGAAGCGTGCCTTGCCGAATGTATTATACAGCTCTACGTTTCTTTGATAACTAAATAAGAAGCGTCTTGTGGTATAACAGAGCTCCTTAACCGAGGGAAATGAATAAAAGTTTTGATGGCCAGATTAAAAAAACTTTCATTTGTCTAATCCACCCAGTGGATCCTGCAGGAGGTTTATATTTTCACTCCTTCGCCTTACCATTGTAAGCTTCTTCCCGTGACCCTAACCGTCGTCTTAAGGACTGCAATTAACATTTAATATCTAAACTCGTTTTTTGTTGTATTCCAGCAAGTCTCTATTTATTACGCTTAACCGTAAAGGCCAGCTTTAATTCTCCCTGCTAGCTCAGTCCTAAAAAAAATCTATATTGTACAGCACTTGCATATATAACATAAGCACATCTACTCCGCCGCCTTCATGTTGCTGTATATTGTTGGATTAAAAAACCTCTCCCTTTGTGTGTGTAAAAATATTACATGATCTTTAGCCATCCAAGCTCTTGTTTCTGTGGGTGTTGCTTCGCTTTCCCGACGGAGACACAACGCTTTTTAATCTTAACTGCCTTCATTCCGGTCCCTGCCCCTGATTGTTCTCTTCCAAGCCCCCTTGGAAAAAAAGGAAGCGGGTTGGGGGGGGGGGGAGAACCAGATTTGAAGACACAGCATTCGATTGTAACGGTTGCCGACTAGCCAGGGAACAGGGTTCGCATGGAAGACAATTGACTTTGGGTTTATACTTGTGTTCCAGCCGAACGGCCCGGGGTGAGTTTGTACAGTTTTGTGGTCCTTTGTCCAAAGGAAGCCTCCGCTTAAGGGCGTGCGATTCCGGGTAACTTCGTCCTCTTGGTCAGGGACCGAGAGGAATAGCAATAGCAATAGTTAGACTTATCTACCGCTTCATAGGGCTTTCAGCCCTCTCTAAGCGGTTTACAGAGTCAGCATATTGCTCCCAACAACAATCCGCGTCCTCATTTCACCCACCTCAGAAGGATGGAAGGCTGAGTCAACCTTTGAGCCGGTGAGATTTGAACAGCCGAACTGTAGTCAGCTGAAGTAGCCTGCAGTGCTGCACTCTAACCACTGCGCCACCTCGGAAACGGGGTGTCGCGTCAGACCCACAACGCAGACACAGCCACATCTTAAAAAGACGATTTTGCATCAGACTTGGTTCCCGTGTAAACTTTCAAGAAGGGTTTTTTTGCAAAAGGGGGAGAAGATTGTGGTTTATTTGTTTTTCTTTCTTCCCGAAGCGGAAGCTGCAAGAATTCTGTGGCTTCGGCTTTCTCATGTATTATCTCAGCCAACTGCAGGCGTTCTGTTGGAAATGCCCCATGGGTAGTCCTCGACTTACAACGCTTCACTCGGTGACCCTTCCAAGTTACGACGGAGGGGGAAAAAGTGACTCGGGGCCAATTTTTCCACACTTAACGGCTGTTGCCGCGTCCCTGTGGTCAAAATTCAAACCCTTGGCAACTGCTTCATATTTATGATGGTTGCGACATCCGTGTGTGTGTGTGTCACGCGATCCTCCTTTTACGACCAGCCTTCTGACGAGCAAAGTCAACAGGGAAGCCCAGATTAACTTAATAACCGGGCTGTTCGCTGAACAACTGCAGTGATTCATTTAATAACGGTGGCAAGAAAGGTCTTAAAAGCGGTCAAAACTCACTTCGCTATCGTTTCGCTCAGCAACGGAAACATTGGCCTCAATTGTGGTCGTAAGTCTGAGGACTACCTGGAAAAAAAGGATCTTGGCTGCAGTGAAGGCCTGTTAAAACTTCCTGGATGGGGTGTATCCCTTGAGAAGGGCACGCCTCGCCCCCTCTGTACCTGTAAAGCAGTATTTTTACAACCTTAGTAACTTTTAAGGCACCTGGACTCCCAACTCTCAGAATTCCCCAGCCAGTTTTTTTTTCCTTTTCACGAGAATTCAGATTGTCCGTTGACCCTTAAACTTGTATTAGATGTAAATTATTTACGAGTTCAACTAATGGTACTATCGCTAATGACAGCAATTAATTAACGGGACAGCTTGCCTTGTTGTGGATACTATTATCACTGGAGATTTTTTGAAAATAGACTGGACGGTGATTTGACTGGGATACGGTATAGGGGTCAGGCTAGAAGACCTCCAAAGTCCCTTCCAGCCCTATGTAGAATCCTATGACTATTATGGTAACATTGATCTCTTAGAGACCCAATGGGAGACCTTTCCAAGCCTCCAGCCTCAACCTCAAACAGCATCCTACCTTAAGAACTTGTATGCATATTTGGGGGTGGGGGGGACAGGGCAGGGGCTCAAGCCTTAATTTTCTAAGCTCAGCCTCCTGGTGCAAATATCGTCCTCAAATCGTGCCTCTGTCGCTATCCGGAATCGCCTGCCCTTTTCAACCTTTCTCTTTTATACCCGTCGTTGAAAAAAGGGAAAAAATCTGCGGCCTCTTTTACAAAGCGATGCTCGTCTTTTTCATGAAAGTTGTGCTGTTCAAATGCCGTGATGTAAAAATGTTTAAAAACGGCTTTTCGTTTTGAATCGGCTGTTTTTGTACATGGCGAAATTTTGTAAATGCATTAAAAACGTGACTTGTTATTACTGTGCCTTTAGATTCTGGCAAACCCTTTGAATTCTTCCGGGGGGCGTGGGGGGCAGTCGCGATGGAATGGGGCAGCAGCCACTAGAAATAACACAGCCTGCAGATTTTCTTTTAATACAGCCACGATTACAACTAAGTCACCTCATTGGTGCAAACGCCACTGCCTTCTGGCACTGAGGACGTTACCTAGCTGGGTCACGAAACGTCTTCAAGGAAACAAGCAGGCTCAGAGAGCACCAAGGACCCCACAGTTGTTCCTCCTCCTCCTCCCTGCACACTCCCTTCTAGCACTGATGATGTTCCCTAGTTGGGTCATGGAAGGTCTGCAAGAAAACCACCAAGCTCAGAGAGCACCAAGGACCCCACAGTTGTTCCTCCTCCTCCTCCCTGCACACTCCCTTCTAGCACTGATGATGTTCCCTAGTTGGGTCATGGAAGGTCTGCAAGAAAACCACCAAGCTCAGAGAGCACCAAGGACCCCACAGTTGTTCCTCCTCCTCCTCCCTGCACACTCCCTTCTAGCACTGATGATGTTCCCTAGTTGGGTCATGGAAGGTCTGCAAGAAAACCACCAAGCTCAGAGAGCACCAAGGACCCCACAGTTGTTCCTCCT